CTGATGACCACTAACTCAAGAAGGACTGAATAAGTCTGAAGATGTCTGTCTTCAGTAACTAAAAAATGTATATGCAGATTTACATAGGTAAACTTGAGGCCAAAGTAAGTATAAGAGAAATCAAAGAGGCAGTAGAGAAGTGACACAACGTGAAGTTGGAAGAGAACTGTGGAAAGTAGTTCTTTTAGGAAAACAATCACCATGGGCAATACTTTTTAATGACTCAGAATGAGTCACAAAACTTGTGACATATTCAACTTTCCCAGTGAACTGAATGGTTTCCTTTGGGTGAGAACAATGACTGTGTTTAAGACTGCAGATAAAAGGTCTGCATTCAAAACCACAATGGAATTATGGAGATCGTGATGAATGCACAACCACGGGATTTTCAACATGTTTCAAACATTAGCAGGGAATTTTTAAGGAGACTCAGCTGGACTTTCTTTCTCTCAGCTGGTGCTCAGTGGCCTATCTCAGCTTTCAAGAATTTGAACTTTGAGTATCACTTTCCAAGCATAACCACAAGAGACACCAAAATGGGGAGGAATGCACCTAGGACCCACTTGTAAAAAGCCAGGAGAATCAACGTTGTTCATGCTAGAAGGGGATCAAATGCTTCAGATTGCCAATGATAGGAAAGTATGCAAGAGATAACTTCAAGTTTCCATAAGTTTTGGATTAACGTCAAGGTGGACTATGGTATGATTGCCACAAATACAAATAAAAGAAAAAAACCTGGTTCCATTTTCAACATCCTATCTGTGAAACAAGGTTTTCTGAGGTGTCAGCAACAAAAATGAGATTACAAATAGACTGGACATACACTATTTTCTTTGTGGGTCTCTTGTCTCTTGTGGGAATGCCTATTTGCAGAGAAACAAGCTCTAGGCTCCTGCTGATTCTACATTATGGTGAGTTTTATGATTGTTGCATTATATACTGCAGTGTAAGAATAACAGAAATAAAGTGTACAGTAAAAGTAATGTGACTGAATCATCCCCAAACACAAGCAGGAATCCCTAGACTTGAGTTCCAGCACCAAGAAAACAGACAGACAAAAGTAAAAACCTGACCATAGCTGTAAGTTGTAAGACAGAAGTGTAATCTTGGTCAAGTAAAAGTAACTTGGTCAAGTAAAAGTCAAGTGTAGGGTTAAGTTCACTTTAATTAATATTGATATCAACAACATCCTCATTTTGTGGTTAAAATCTAAGAGACTAACAGTACCAAATTTTGGTGGGCATACAAATCTCATATGTTGCTAGTAGAAACATAAAATTGTGCACAACTTCTGGAGAATTCTCAGGAAGGTTCTCAAAACATGTAACCACACAAGTGTCCAATACCTAGAAATTTAACTCTTAGATAATAGCACACCTAGGAATTTGAAACCTAAAATTTAAAAAGGGTTGAGATTTGGCTCAGTGCTATAGTGCTTGCTGAGCATGTTCAAGGCTCCAGGTTCATGCCACCACCACAAACAAACAAGTAGATAAAATGAAATAAAAGCTTCAGGTGGAGGAGAGAACCCAGAAACATTAATTATCTGTTTCTGTCAATAAGAAGTTTAAGCTTGAGTAAAAGCTGAAAACTTGGAGATAGTGTGATTGGAATTCTGCCACTGGGAGGAAATTTGTTGTCCTGTGGGCCAGAATGAGGAGATGGAAATATCTAATAATGTCTATGCATTTTTCAGTGTTTGTCCACCAGCAAAAACAATACCTGGGAACATATCTACCTGGAGGTACAATAATCTTATGCAGATTACATTGACATTTTTTCAAAAGAAATATCCTAAAATGGGCTAAAATGCTATGTCATTACAATTCCCTGTTGATTTGAACAAAGGATCAGGAAAGGATTTTTTGTAAAATTGGCAATTTAGTGTGTGATGAAGTGACACTCTCTGTCAATGGGGGAAAATTACCCTTTCCAGGGTTAATGATTTAGCATATCAATTCAAATATATCAGTGATGGACAGGGATCTACATTACTTTTCCTACTAAAACATCTTCAAGATGAAGCAATCAATAGCTTTGAGGCTAACAGTAGCTCATACTCAGTGAGCACTTCAATAACCTCTCTCCCCTGTCTGTTTTTATATATGGTATTCAATTCAGGTTGACATTCCTTAAGTATCTCAGGGAGGAGAAGGGGGAGGAACAACTTGGGTGTCATTTGAGTAATAGTTAAAGGTGAGAATGCTTAGAACCAGCCAGATTCTAAATTATTAAAAATCAATCCTAGTAAGCAGCAGAAGAAGTCAAATCTAAACAATTAACTTCTAGTCTAATGTTTTTAGTTTGTTACCTGCCTCTCCCTAAATAGTCTATGAAGATTGCCATTTTGAAATATAGCACATATGTACTAGGAACCAAAACCACACTTAATATTTTTGGTGCAGAATTTTATGGGCTCAGAAATAGAAACACTCCTTGTTGAATGACAGAGTTCCATGCTGCTCCTAGGGTGTTAAGTGAATTCATTGCTAAATAAGAAATCATACTTAGACTGTACATTACAGTATTCTGAAAAAAGGAGTGGTCAAAGAAACTCCAACTCAATGACATTGCTTTTATTTTCATTACTCTTACAATGCAGTACTGTAATATACAACAGAACATAAAACTACAGTACCACACAGTATACTACAAACAGCAAAAACTACATTACTATGTAAACAAAATGTTCTGTACAGAAGAAAGGAAGAGATTGAGGTTTTATAAACAAGCTGTGAAGAATTGTTACCAAAAGAAGAAAATGAAAAAAGAAAAGACAAGAGAGAAAACAAAAATCTTAAGCAAAAGCAAAGAAAAAAAAGAAAAGATGGGGTGTTAAATCTGAGTGGTGGTTTCTAAGTACCCTGAACAGTGTCAGGCACAAATCCAAAGTCATTAAACTGGTAGGTCATTAAATGAGGAATCTCTGCACAAGCATATTTCTTTTGATTCTTACTAAAAAAATATATAAGCAGCAATACCTCTCCCACTCACATAGATCACAGGAGCTCATATAAACATTTTCCCATGAAGAAAGACTTCATAAGAATGTCTTTAACAGCACATATATTAAAATGAGGATGATACAGAAGTAAACATGGTATCTGTTCAACAATGATGCTCAAATTTCTGAATAATTCCTTGCTATATTTGAGAATAGAGGGCATGAGGAGAGATAGTTCAGTAATATGGGTGTGCAATTTCAGATCTATTGCATGATACAGTGGATATCAGTGTAGGTAGTCTATGTATAGGTATTGCTACCAGTAGATTTTAAGTGTTCTCATCTCAAACACACACACACACACACACACACACACAAACACACACACACACTGTATGTGAGGTAATAGATATTTGTTCAATTTAGAAAATCCACAATGTACACATGCAAAATCAATAACACACATACAAAACACCAAAACAAAACAAAAACCAAAACAGAACTGAATGTCACCAAAACTATAGTAAGAAAATAAGCTATATAGGATATTCAATTTTATTTGTGTTCAGTGTTAAGAGAAAAAGACTTCTGGGCTCTGGTAAGTGAGGACTTGTAGCTAAGGGACAGGATAAGACTCAATGACCATGTATTACCTGGGGGAAGGCAGATGATCTGGAACCTACTCCTGTATTGAGGCAGTAGCGAAAGGGGTTCTTGCTAAGCTGAATGACTGACAGCATTCTTTGCTAAGACTGCATTTTACAAAGAAATGCACAGATGAACCTGGGAGCAAGTTCAGGAGCCTGACTAAAGTCTAGCCAGGTGTCAGAATCTGTGTCAGAAGTTCAAGAAAAGAAAAATTTATCTGCACTGTGCAAGTCAGAGTACAGGCTATTTATGGAAGAATGGAAAAAGAACAGTATTAAGTATAGCAAAGTAGTTTAGGTTGCTGCTTAAAAGATAAGGGGCAACACATATTTCTTTTAGGCAGGAAGGCCAGGCTAAGTAAAAACTGGTCTCTGGAATAAATTAGCCTGTGAAATTAATAGCTTGACCTGCCTTTCAAAACTTCAGTTATTAGCTCTAATTAACATCTTGGGTTTTATTATTTGAAGGATCCTGCTTTAAAAGAGTCTTGAAATATGTATTGGAGAGTTGGTTTTGAAACAGGAACCTGATGGTTAATTTTTTTACTCTGAGTGATGCCTTTCTTTGTAAAAAAATGCCACTTTTCTACTTTACATGTAAATTTTAAAACTCGTCTGGCTTAAATTTTCATTGAAAACTCACCAAATAATCAGTTTAGGTCTCGCTGCCCCCCACCCCAAACTCCTGTCTACAGTATCCATAATGTCAACATTCTCTATTATTGGTGGTACTATAAGCTGAGAAGCTAGTCAACAGGTGAGAAGAAAAAGTAGATTTCCTTGTTGAAAGTCAGTTTTCAGGAGAGAGGCACAATGATGACACTTGTTATAAACAGGATGATTAACGCAACTTAAAGATTTTATTTTATGATAGACATTATAATTTATGTGTAGTCATCATCAAAGCATAGAGAATTATGCCCAATAAAGGACACAAATAAAAGTGGTGGAAAAAAACTGGTTTTCCATAGCAAGGGTTGGGGGGATACATTAAAACTTGCCAAACATGACTGTTTACACATCCTTTGTTATCTATCAGCAACAAACTGAGACCCGCAAAATACCAGAAAGGCCAGTAAGAAACACATACTCTACAAGGGAATGCTTTTATATGTTCAACAAGGCACCCCTCCCTAAATTTCTGTGTGGTTTTCATCACTGTATTTGTGAGTTGTAGCAATAACAATAAAGAGCAGCACACCTTCTTCTCAGGTTAGTATTCTACTAAGCAATCATAACTATGGATTGAATCACTTCTTGAAAGTCTTAATTCTTTATACTTTACTTGAAGTTGTTTACATACCTTATTTTGAAACCCAGTCAAAACTGAATAATATTATAATGGAGAGGAATAGGGCCTTCCTTAAGGAGAGCAAGGAAACCAATATTGAAACAAAAAGCTGGAAAGCTTAAACTGAGTGTCCATGTAGCCAGGTTTCTAATTGTCCTGGGTTTGGGGAGGTGCTGTGGCCCTTCTGTTGCAGTAGCAAGTTGGCTGTGTCCATGGGCTGAGAGTGGCTCATCATTAGCTCGTTCTTCAGTCCTGAGTGCTTAGCCTCAGTAAAGCCTTCCCTGCAGGGCAAGGCACACAGCATCTCCTCCAAGTGTGCTTGGCCACCAGGGTTTAAGGAGGTTTCTGAATGCAGCAAACTGCTACTCTGCTGCAGCGTCTTAGTCTTCCGGCGAGGTTGATACTTATAGTCAGGATATTTCCTTCTGTGCATAGCCTGCAGTCTCTGGGCCTCCTGAAAGAATGGCCATTTTTCGGCTTCAGTAAGCATTTTCCACTGGTACCCCAGCCACTTGCTGATCTCTGAGTTTTGCAAGTTGGGATGCTCCAGAGCCACTTTGCGCCTCTGGTCACGAGACCACACCATGAATGCATTCAAGGGTCTCTTGACCCGGTGCACGATGCTGTTTTTATCATTGCCTCCTGTTTCATTTTGATAACTTGAGCAAGCATTGCCCTTCCAAAGGTAGGAAAAGTTTTCTCCAAAGGTGAGGACATCTTGCTGCACACCTGGCCAGTAGTCTTTGCTTTTCAATTTTCTGAACATTGTGGAAGTATATGAGTGCATATTTAAAGAAAAAAGAAAAAAAAAGCAGGGTCGAAGGAAACGCAACACACACAACACAGGAGCTTCTTTACAATTGGAGGATTTGAAATGTATTTCTAACAGAGACTTTGTTACATTAAGGATTGTAATAAAATACTCATTTCTCCTCCCCTAACACCTCCCCCAGCCATGGGACATCTCACTTTTCTGCCTTCCTCTTCTCAACAAAAGCATTGCAATTCAATACCATAATGCCTTAGTGTAATCAGCACCATAAAATAGAACTCCGATAGAACTTTCTCCAGCTGCGCACTTAGCAACAGACTTCCCTTCTCTCCAGCCCCAAAGAAGTGGCAGAATATGCAGATGGAAGCCTGGGTAGGCCAGGAGCCTGGTTTGTTTGTCACAAGAAAGAGAGTTGAAGCTGAATGAAAGACATAATGCAAGTGAGATGTGCATTGTCTTTTGTGCTCCCCCTCCCCTTTGTTCCTCACTATAAAAGACCCTTACCCACCTGTAACCAGTGAGATGGTGAAGTGAGGCAAATAGGCCCCTCCATCTCCTCAGAGCTAGCTTTAAATAAATCCCTTGTGTTTTTTACCCAAATAAATGGCCTCCTTTGATTAGATCAGAAACTTGAACATGTGAGCCTAAATGGCCAGTAAACATGAGCAGTTCTGTGGCCAGTCTGCCATCCTGAAGATTTACTATTCACTTACTATAAAAATTAAAAAGGAGGTGCAGAGTATGGTGGAGCTATCCTATAATCCCATTTACTCCAGAGGCAGAGGCTGAGAAAGAAGGGTCAGGAGTTTGAGTCCTGCCTGGGCAATTAAGTGACACCTGCCTCAAAACAAAAATTAAACAGGGCTGGTGATGTGGATCAGTTGTACAGTGCCCTAGCTCCAATCCCCAGTACCAGGCAGGAGACACAGGAGCAGGAAACTTATTTCTTACTCTTTCACTATGCCTACCCATCAAAGTATGGGGGCACAGCAAGGAGATAATTAACCAATTATTACTATGAGTGTATGTGAATATTATCTTTAAAACTTATAATCTTTAACTGAACCTAATCCCATTAACCTTACACACAGAAGCATGCACTGTTGGATACTGAAGTTACAGTAATTGTTATCCTTGTTTCTTCCCTTCTACTCAAAGAGAAGTTGAAATTCTATGTAAATTTTGGACTGAAAAATACTAGGGAATTCAATACAATTACCTATGCTAACAAATGAGAAAGAGAATAATCATATTCTTTGAAAGATATGTAATGGCCAATGGAACAACTAACATCCAACTTTTTTAAATATATGATTTAAGGAAAATTCAGAAGGCCTTGAAACACAAGTGGTAACAGTCTGAACAGAGACTATATATTTTGTTGTTCTTGATTGAACAGTGATATACTCTTGAAGCCAACCTTCACTTACACATAGTAGCAAGCTAGAGAAGTCTTTTACAAATCTACATTAAATTTTGACCCACAAGTCATCAATTTATCATCTACTATACTACAGTTTAGAAACACCTACTTCAAAACTAAACAGTCATTCTGGCCTGGTGGAGCAGACCTATAATCCCAGATATGGGGATTATATGCCCCAGGCTGGGGCAGGAGAAGGACAGTTCCAGGGCAGCCTGAGCTACTTGATAAGGCCCCACAAACACAAACAAAAGCAAACAAGCAAGCCTGTGGGTACAGGTCAGAGGTGGAGTGCCCCTGGGTTAGGTCACCAATCAGGGGTAAGGGTGGGGAAGACTGAAAAGGTCATGACTGACTAAATGAAATATAATAGCTCCCTCATATATATCTTCAAGTCAGATGTGGAAAGTTATATCCAAAGAGATTGGCAAAAAGATATATTATGAAAATCCACACTATCATCACCATCCAGGCAAGTCTGAAAGGCCTCTTTGCAAAATAAGGACTCTTGCACAGAACACAGCCTTTTTGAAATACAGTCTTGCCAAGACTGAATAGAAATAATGCAGAAATTCATAATGAGGAGGATGAGCATGATGATGATATTAAAAAAATCCCTCAGGGCATACAAATAACCCATCAGCAAATATGATTTACCCTGTGAATTTTATGATGGATTAATAGCAGCAAATCAAAACAACAAGAAAATTAAATTCTGTCAAAAGATAAATATGAAACCTAATTCATATTCTAGTTAATAATAAAGATTAGTACTCAAAGTGGAGAAATTATGAAAAAGGAACTATATGTTTAAGTAGTGCAATTTAAAATATGTATTTTAAAGCTGGATATGCTCGCACATGAGTATTATTCCTGCACTCAGAGAGGTGAGGCAGTAGGATCTAAAGTTGGAAGAGTTTAGCAACATAACTGGATACTGTCTCAAAATAAAAAACAGAAAAACATTGAGATAAAGCTCCATGCAAAGACTCTGGGTTCCATCTCCTGTACAGAAGAAGGAGAAGGTTGCAGAAGGGGGAGGAGACAAAGGGGAAGATGATGGAGAGGAGGGGGGAAGAGGGAAAGGATAATGATGTGTGGGGGGATAGAGGAGCAGCAGAAACAGGAGGCAGAGGAGGAGAAGAAAAAGAGGGGATATAGTATCTTACACTGGGGGTGTACTTCAGGGTTTGCCTGGCATGCTAAAAGACTTGGGTTCCATCCCCAGGATAGCAAAAACACAAACAACAGCAAATACATTTTTAAAATACCTCAAGCCCAGAAGTTGATTTTCTAGAACTATAAAACTTAGTTTAAGAGATAAATATACCATTTCAAAATTTGAAAAGTAACTGCCTATATAAATAATAATTATGATATAACAATAATATTGAAATAATCTTATTCCTGTAATCTGAGCACCTGAGTGACTAAAGCAAGAGGCAAGTATGATCCAGCCCAGACTGGGCAAAGTAGCAACAAACCAAGACCCTGTCTTAAAATCAAACATGTACATACACATATGCACACACAATGCTGGGGACATAGCTCTATGTGATGGCTCTCTAGTTTCAATCCTCAGGCTGGAAAAAAATGGAAATATGAAGAGAAAAAAGTAATACACACTGTAATATGCACAAACCTTGAAAGCACAGCACTGCTTTGAAAAGCTCAGACGCAAAATATATACCAAATGATTTCATTTATCTGAAACATATGTGAGAGTCAAAGCATACAGAGAGAAAAACCCAGTAGTGATTGCCAAGGACTGGAAGGAAGCATAGGTGGGTGGGTGGATGAATCCGTACTGTTACTGAGGGCAGAATTTCCCATCTAGGGTGATGAATTATACTAGAAATGGAAGTGATGGTTGCCCAACTGCATGAGTCTACTGTTGAGCTGTATACCTTAAACTGGTTAAAATGGTGGCTTAATATTACAGGTAGTTAATCATATTTTTGTAGAAAGTGAGCAAAAGAGGATCTTACAGATCCACTTACCATTATAAAAGGGAAAAGGGGTCATGGTTGGATTCTTCAGTCAACAGAATGTAAAGAAGATATATCAATGGTTTGCAATCTAAAGCTCCTTGTTCTGATTCATGTCATATATCTAGTCCTTGAAATACTTCTTCAATGATTTAATTAACAAAATGAGCACAGAAGGGTCATGCTTAGAAATATGAAGTAGAATGGAAATCCACTTTAAAAAGATAAAGCATTGTTTCTTTACCATCCCTTAAAGGAAAAATGGGGGTGTGAAAGGAAGGAGGATTTACTTCTGCCACATAAAGTCAGTATTAAACTTCATATTGATGTTTTAACTTCTCTCTGTCTCTCTCTCTCTCTCTCTCTCTCTCTCTCTCTCTCTCTCTCTCTCTTTCTACCTCCCTCCCTCCCTCTCTTCATTCTGTCAAGTACTGGGGATTTTGAACCAAGGTGCTTTGCACTGAGGTAAATTACCCACATGCTTTTTAACTTTTTCTTTCTTTTGAGATAGGGACTCACTAATTCCTTAAATTGCCCAGACCAGGCTCAAATTTGCAATAGTCCTGCCACAGCCTCCTAAAATACAGGGGACTGCAGGCATACACCACCCCTATGTGGCTTTAATTCATTTTAATCACAGCTCAGATGAGGTACAATCACATAGCCAGGGCTAGGTACTATACTAATCATTCTTCCAACTTTGAGTCTTCATACCAGAGGCTTAACCTATGCTTCTGAGCTTCTAGGTGTTTCCATTTTCTGGTATACCGCTCTTAATGCACAAATCCATAAGTAGAAAGTTTAAGCACTGCCTCAGGATGGAGCTCAGTGGCAGTTGCTTGACCAGAATTCATGAGTCCCTGAGTTTAAGACGTAATACTCAAGAACAACAAAAACCTTTAAAAAAAAGTTTAAGGACTTTTCTACTGTATAACCACAACATTTCATGTCCACTGACAAATACTTCTCAAATGTTTTTATGCTCTCTTACACTAATTGAGCACACTTAGGCCAAATCATTGATGAATGGCCCTGTCAATGTTAAATTTAAAGTGGGATTGGCTAAGAATATTGGTTGTCAAACTAACAGAGTCACTTTATTTTCGAGGACGCTGCTCAGAAGATAGTAGATTAAAAACAACTAATTTTATATACACCTTGTTTTTTTCAAACTAAAATAAGAAAAATATGAGTTGAAGAATAGTGATTTTGATTATTACAAAGCAATCAATTGCACTTAGTTTAATCTCATTGCTCCCTTGCAGTCTTAATTGGAATTTCCCTAATAAACTTCAGTGCAGTTTAACACACGTGTAAACATTTTCAAACACACAAAATTTGCACCTCTCAAAATCTTCACTGGTAGATTACTAGAAGCATAAAGTAGTAGCCTGAAACATTTTCCCATACCAGTTCTAACTCACGATACTGAACTCACATTCCCACTAACCAAGACTGCAATATACAAACAAAAAGCTGCTTATACTAAAATAAGAAGTAACTTTAGTCCTCCCTTTCATTTGATTTGTTAGGTAGTGTTCTCCTCTCTTTTTTTTTAGTTCTTCTACTCAGCTTAGAGACTA